CAAATATAATAAAAATACTCTTGTTATAGAGAATTGGCCAATCAAATCTCTTAAAATCTTCACTATAGCCTTATAGCAAAGTTGAGGTCTAGAGCATAAAGTTCGTTATAACAAGAGTTGACTGTACTTTTATAATTCATAATCTTGCATTTTCATTTAACAAATTTTTATAAATCTTTAATATATAATATAAATATAATTTAATTAGATTAGAATTTTCAAAATTAATTCTAATGAAATAAGATTCTAAAGTGATGTAAAACCTATAATACGCTCTTTTAACAAGTTTTTTAGAGGCTTATCAATAATGAATTTATAGTTAGTGTGAAACATTAAACCTGCTTTTTCATATAAATTCAAAGTCATTCAAAGGTAAAGTAAAAAGAAAATATATTATTGATATATGCTAAAGTATAGATTTTTAAAGGAATTAAATATTGGATAGAATGATAATTGTATTGGTTAATAATAATTTAGCTTCTTTAATTTGCTTTAAGAAATTAATATATTCTGTTTGGATTGTTTTATCAGTTTGTATTGCTTTATCTAAATAATCACTATTTTCTGTCTGTGTTCTAATATCTATACTATAAACAAAATATTTTCGAAGTTTTGCCTATTCATACATAATTAATTTATGATGCAAATGTTGTTTAATTCGATAATTTTTTTTCTGTAATTTCTTCTAGTACAACAGGATCGAGCCTCATATTAAGTAATTGATCAAAAGCTCTTTTGACTAGGCTTGGTGGCATTTTATCTAAAATAGGCTTAAAATCAAGATGGAAAGTGGGTATTTGTACATACAAATTAATAATCTCTTCGATATCTGCCATTTTAGTAATGAATTTATTTTGATCTATGTAATGTTTAATACAAGAATTTATATTTTCCTGTATGCAAAAAGAAAATTGCATTTTTGATCATCAAGTATGATATACTTGTGGTGTAACTCCATTAATGATAGACAGAAGAAAATTCCCCGCATCTGATTAACCCGACGTTCATCTGGGAAATTCTGGGTCACATGCGTGAAAAAATTCACGCACTTTAAAAAATCGATGATTCTCCAATACACACCCATCCACACGAAAAAAATGATCGTTGATAATACATAAGTTACAGTATTTTCAGGCGAAACTTTATTAAAATACATGAATAAATTAGGGTCATCTATAATTTCATGGAACTTGCCAGTGACATCCCGGAACCTGGCACTCAATTGCTAAAATCCTGATCGTGCCCAGAAATGGACAACATCTAATCCCTAAATACGCGTTACAATTTGTAACACCGATCAGTTTGCCAAGAAAAATGTCGGTCTGTACACATCGACATCCGTGCAATGCAATAAGGTAATGCATACATGTATTTTTCTGATATGTATAAGCCCAACCACACGAAAAATTGTACATGTTAAAATATAAAGCCTGATGTGAGCAAACAATAGATGCTTTATTAATTTTGTTAAACTAGCATCAATATCTATATGCTAGATAAAAAGTTGGATGAAAATTTTTTATTGTTTATGTATGAATAGGTTCGCAGTAAATGACGTGAAAAATTACACCATTTTATATTCATTGATATAATAAAATCGCAAACTTTTACAAATACACTTAATAATAAGAAATTTTATATAGAATCTGAACCACGACCTTTCCCTCTTCCTCGACCTCTTCCCCTTCCTTTTGTTACATTCCCTTGTCCATTACTATTCACCTTACTAGATGTCTCTTTAGGTAAAAATTCAGCAAAAGTCACAAAATTAGGCCGGTTTGGTGTAACCCCAGTAACATATTTGGTTGTGGGTTTCATAATACGTTGTTTTCCTTTTCTTTCAAATTTCTTAAAATTTTCAATCTTTTTGACAACATTATATCGCAAACATAGTAGTGTTCGAATTAGTCGAGGTACATGATCTAAAATTTGGAATAACAAGGTTAGGTACCGTAAATGGTGAAAACAAATATAAGCCAGGACCAATGTAAATGATTTGGCCAATCTCGAGCTCATCACCCGTAATAAATAGTATATACATATTAAAATAAAGAAACACATTCGTGTTCGAAAATATTCTGAAAATAGCTTACCAAAACCCTGAGCAAGAAAAATCCCCAATGTTTTGCACATGTTCCATGTTGGTAGTTCCGTTCTTGTCATAAATTTGTTAAGAGCGAAGACATTAATTTGAGTCTATCAGTAATAAATTTATCAGGATCCGGATTATCAGGATCTCCAAGAAAATTCAAGCAGAAACAATGGGATTTGTTTTGGGCGTTCGAAGAATTCAGCTACTCCATCCGCTTTATAATCTGTGGTTTGAGAATCCATTTTAGTAGAAATAGTTCTCTCACATGAAAAATATTGCAACGAGTCAAGAAAACTAAATGTAATAAAAAAAAAAAATATGCTAAGATGTGTGCAGTCCATGATCGTTCAGTAGTGTTTTCACTATTCCTTTCATTTTAGTGACAGCATCTAAATGACTGGAAACGCTTTTGATAATATGTATGTCGGGAAATTGTGATTGATCGTAAACTTGCACTGGAATGGGAATAGTGTTTGATAGGAATCGAAATTTTGTGGCTGTTTCATTCAAATTATGTGCTATTTTTTTCCATTTCAGAAACAGCTTCGTCTTCAATTTTGAAACCATTTTCAACATCACCTCCTGCATCACCCTCTTCTTCCTCCTCCGAAGAATCTTCTAAAATTTGATCGAACAACATCATATATTCACGTGCAATCTTACTCATATGGATATTTTCATCCTCTAAAGACAATCTCTCGAACAGAAATTCTAATTCTTCTTTGTCCAAAAGATTATGTACTTGATTTAATACCTCTTTATTTCCTAAATCTATCACATAATAACTCGCTCCGAAATCACGAGTATGCCATATAGTTTTGAGTTTATTATAATATGTTGGAAACTTGATTTGTCTGAAGGCATTGGAAGCTTGGGTCACTGAGTTTAACAAATCTTCTGAAGAGGTACCTTCGATAACCGACTCTTTTACATTTCTGTATGCATATCCAAAAGGTAATATTAGAGGAATTTATGTATACTAATTATTATTATTTGCTATGCTGACCTTCTTAGAAATAATTGTTTCTTCATTTTCATGAGGTCGCTTGGAGATTGGGGCTTTTTCATTTATCGCACAAATCGAATTTTGCGGTGGGTCTCTTGTTCGTTGACCACTTTTTCACGGCTTCGTTCAATAAATTGTTTTTTCCATATCTTAAAGCAAAAATAAGAAAAATAGGATTAGTTTTTAAGATTTGTATACAGAAGAGTGGAGTGGTTTAGGTCCGAGTGGCCCACAGCCCCTAAACTTGTGACCCGCAGTCCCCAAGTTGCCACCTATCAGGATCATATGAGTGACCCGCAGTCCCTCCTCGCCTTCAGATAATTACACCCCTTAAACGAGAGGCGCTATCCCTCTATATACTGTATACTGTATGTGTTTGTAAGTAAATAAAGAAAAATATTTACTTACATCCCAAGTGTCCCTAATATTTCTCAAAACTCGCGTTATATCCGTATTAAAGAAATTTGAATCAATAATTACTTCTAAATCTTTGCTTATCGCGTCGTATATTGTTGAAAGATTGTCGCTTGGCCGTTCTTTCTGATAGTAGGTGGACACGTCATTGACGGTTATAGAGCTGATCGTGGACACTACTTCGGGCTGAGTAAGGAATCTGAAAAGGGGTCTTCTTGAGAAAGGTATATTATTTTCCATTGCATATACTCAATTTACTTCCGTTGAAATGAAAGCCAAAGAATAAGAAAAAAAATTCTGAAAAATCGCGCCTCATTGATAAGCAGAATTTAAGTCACGTGTTCGTTACGCAGATCACTTGCCGGTAGACCATTGGTCCAGTCATAGGACTGGTCCATGGTGTGATTAAAATGAATTTTGTGTTGCGTTGTGAATTATTTTTTATAGATTTTGTGCATTTTGACGGTCACTATTTAATAGGGTATTATATAAGGAAAACTACGCTCAACAGCACAGCTAGATATAGTAATCAAGTGCTATTTGAGAAATAATTGGTAGAGTTGCCATATTATCCAATAAGTTTTCAAAACATTTTCATTTAAATTTCCAACCCACAGTAAATGCCCCATTCACGTATTAAATCATTTGAAGGATTATTAAATTCATTAATAACTGCATTGATACATATTATGTCATTGATTATTTCCCATATGAATATATTAGGATCATAAAGACAGGCTGCACGAAATAAAAGACGCGCAGGATGATTTGAAATATGCAATTTTAATTTATTATATACAGCTTGAAAAGCGGTTTGAAAAATAGAATAAAAATCTTGTGAATTGAATAAGTTGTGTGTCACAATTTTCATCAAACTCCATACCAAAATGAGTAGTAATCTGATTTGATTCAAAATAAGCTGTTAAATTTTAAACCGTTTTAACAAATGAAAAAACAGGTTTTTTCTATTGCTGAAAAATCTAAGTTTTGAACAAATGCTTTAACATAAATTAAAATAAAGTTAACATAAATTGTAATAATTTTTTTTTTATAGTTTCAGTACCTGAACACTAGGAATCCATATAGTGATTGTTTTTGTATATAAGAAATACAAAGTAACCCTGTAAGAACAATTTAAGATCCTTAAAATCATGGCTGAACACATATTTTAACTAGAATCAGTTTACTAATACTGATCTAAGGCTTACTATCTAGATTGATACTCCCAAAAGTTAACTCTCAGGGATTCTAGACCTTAGAACCACTGTCAAATTTGGATAGAAAAATCACTTTCAACCACAGATACTTATGTCACTTTTACATTATACTTATTAATACTAATCAGAATTACTATTATCTTTGCTCAGTATCAGGGTATATTAAACATAACTGAAAAGACTTAGATGTTATCATTCTTATAGAATCTCAGAAAGATAGATGATTGTTATACCTATTATCAAATTCACCTAAGAATTAAACCTGACTTCTATTCTAAATGATAACTTGATTGGATGATACTATAGCAATATAATACAATTTATTATTACCATAGCCACATAGATATTTAGATCTCAATATAGTACCTAATCTACTAATTACTAATTAACCACTTCCTTACTTGTATAAAAACCCTTAAATTTGAAGACGTGAGACAGTATCTATTATAGATCTATCAGCAAAAGCTAAGTTTTTGTCAATTTCTAGCTTCATTTGCATTCATTTGTTCTTCAAATTAAGTATTTAAACATGATCAATACTAATTAATAGATCAATTGATTAATTATTAATGCATATTAGTATATACGCTCATATATTTAGTTATATATAAAATTCTTAAGAAAATCATCTAGTTTTATTTCTTAACTAAAACCTAAACTTGTAGTTTTTGCAGTGTAATCCATGAAAGGAACTTATATTTTAATAAAGTGAGCTAAGGCATTAACCCTATCACATAAATTATAATTATCCTAATTGTACTGTATTTGTAAAATTAAATAAATTTTACCTATAATTTCTTATTTTAGATCACTTTTATATTCTTTTTTATAAAAATCTTATTAAATTAAAGGTATTTTTTAGTATAAAATACCATTTTAAACTAGTTATTTTATTGAATTTTATTTAGTAATAGAATTTTATATAATGAAGCAAATACAAATAAATTATATATCAGCTTTTCTGAAGATTTGACAAATATTCTTAATTTTAGCTAAATATTTTTAAAAGTGAAAATGATAAAAAATCCTATCAAT